GATTAAAATCGAAGTTTTAATCCGCTGCACTAATTCACCCCCCCCCCCTCTTAGTGCCGCTCCGATCCTAACAAGGTTAACTCCACCAATTGGTTGTCATCAGAAAAAATGGGAAGATTGTTAAATCTTGAATTTTGATAATGAAATAAATTTGTGAATTATTTGACCTAATCTATGTGCTGAGATAAGTGTGCTTGATTAACTATGATAACAGTAAGGTATAAAGTAGATGATGGGCCAGAGTAAAAAATTCTAACGATGTACCGGAAGTCTGTCAGGAGCTCGCCGAGAGTTCGTCAGAAGTTCGCTAGAGGCTTATCGAAAGATCACCGAGAGTTTATTGGAAGATCGTTAAGAGTTCGTCGAGAGTTCACCGGAAGCTCGCCGGAAGTTTTGCCTAGAAGTTCACTAGAGGTTCGCCAAAAGAAAAATCGACATACTAGACTAATTGCTTGCCTTAATCGTAGTTAGAACATTAGTTGAGTTAGGATCGAGAGATAATCCCACTAACTCAATCATGGGCCAATTGGGCCCTTAACATGGCTGAATTGGGTTGGATTGAATAGCCCATTCAGCACCTGAAATCACGACCGACGGTGGCACAACTTGGCAGACCCGGTCTCCCAAGTGTTTTGGGTGGTGGTACTACCGACAGTTAATGCTGCCAATGGTGGTACCGCCCCTGTCAGGCGATAGTACCGCCAGAGCTCGTTCTTCGAGCTTTGTTAGGCGGTGGTACCGCCTAGTGTCAGGTATCATGTGGTGGTACCGCCCAATAATGGTGATGGTACCGCTAGTACTCTAGAAAATCAGGATGAGACACTTTTTTGCTCCAATTTTGAAGCTATTTGGGCATATAAATACCTCACCCTTTTTTGCATGAAAGGGCATGAAAGTATTGGCATAATCTTGAGTCATTGAAGTGTTAATGTGTTGTAAAAGTACTAGAGTACTCCTCCCTTTCTAAGTGTTGAGATCATTCAAGAGAGGTGTGAGACTTGTAAGGGTTATCTCCTAAACCTGAGAAAAGGAGAAATCGTTGTAAAGAGGTGGTTGGTCTTCGCCTATTGAAGGAAGACCTTTAGTGGACACCGATGACCTCGATGGAGGAGAAATCAGAAAGAAATTAGAAATGGATGTAGGTCACAACGACCGAACCACTCTAAATTCTGGTTTGCTTTTCTATTTGTGCAATTTACATTACTGCAAACTTGTTTAACCTTCTCTTTGCACTCTTATAAAAGCTTTCAAGTTTAGTTTCTTTCCAAAACAGATTGAATCGAAACAAATATTTTTCGGAATCAATGCTTTTATTTGCTGCACTAATTCACCCCCCCCTCGTAGTGCCGCTCTTAGATCCTAACATCTTGAATTTTGATAATGAAATCAATTGATTTATAATTTAATCTATGTATTGAGAAAAGTGATGCATAACTATCTACGATCATGGAAAGAGTCAAAAATCGGGTATCAGGCTAGAAGAATCAGACAATATGCTGAGAATGGATGGATCGAGCATTACACCAAAAGGTTTGGACGATGCATCAGAAGCTCATCGGAAGTTTGTCAAGAGTTCATCGGAAGTTCAGATGAACAATTGACATGCCGGATAACTAAGATTGCTTATATTATAATTGTTTTAACCTTAATTATAATAGTCAGGTGTCAATTTGAGTTAATTTAAGGAGAAATTATACTAACTCAATTAAGAGCCTATTGAGCCCGAATCAAATTGGGCCCGATGGATGACCTATTCAGTGACCTGGAGCCACATTAGGTGGTGGCACTACCAAGGCTGGCGATGGAACTACCTGAAGCTTAGCCTCCCAAGTAGTCTGGGTGGTGGTACGGTCGGTAGTTAATGCTGCTAGGTGGTGATGCCACACAAGCGGGGTAGTGGTACTGTCAGAGCCCAATCTCCGAGGCCCTATCAGATGGTCATACCACTCAGACTAGTAGTAGTACCGCTAGAGCAGGGTTGTCAAGCGATGGTACCGCTAATACCTCAGAAACCCAAGATAAGACACTTTTTAGCTCTATTTTTGAAGCCATTTGGAGCCTACAAATACCATAATTTTTCTTGCTTGCCCAAGTAAAAAAATTTAATAAAAAACTTATGATCTAAGTGAGAAAACTCTATTGTAATCCCTTGAGAGTTCTCCTCCTCTTCTCTAAGTGTAATTTCTATTTAAGGGAGGGTTGAGAAAACTGTAAATATTATCTCTTAAACCTATAAAAAGAAGAATATAGTTGTAAGAGGGTAGTTGATTTTTATCTATTGAAAGAAGATTAATAGTGGAAGTCGATAACCTCAACGGAGGAGGAATCGAGAGTAGATATAGGTCATGATGATCGAACTATTATAAATTGGTGTACCTTTTCTTCTTTGCTTTTTTTTTTATATTGCTTACTGACTGCTCGTACTTCATATTTTCTCTAAGTTCAAACGTATTTTCGATACGATTTTATCGAACAAAGTTTTCAAATCTTCGACGTTTTTACGTAAGCACTAATTTACCCCATCTTTAGTGTCGATTTCAGTTATAATATAATATTCTCATTAGGTCTTACTAAATAAGAAAACTATTCATCCTTCTTTACCATAGGATAAAACTATTTCTTACATAAATTTTTTCATGAAAAAATATATAAAAATAACTAATGATATTTTTATTGAAATTTTTATCATCGAATCTTTCTGATTTTGATAGCAGTTTGTTGAGAAGAGAAAAGACTTAACTACCAAAAAGTAAAATCATAAAAATCAACAAATAGATAAAAAAAAACAGAAGACACAATGCAAGGTTTGGTAACCCGTGCTTATACCTATGGAGAAAATTATATTTTAAAAAAATTAAATATAAAAAATAAGTTTCTTTTTAGTCAACCCAAGCTGAAAATTCCTTGTACACCCTCTCCCAAGTACATAAAATATTAGGGGCATCCGAATTAATTTTCTCTATCTTTTTCCTACTAAAACATTGAGATTCATATAATATTATAAAATAAATAAAATCTGGCTCACTACTGATCTTTATAACACTTGAAATTCAGTAATTTGAATCTTATTAAAACTATCAAAAAAAAAAAAAAAACACTTGCCAACAACAACCGTTATCCCACATCAAAGAACTAAAAGTTTGACCGAGATCAAAAGGATATTGGCTCTAAATAGGTAGTTTTATTTGGTTTGCCATAATGAGAGAATAAATAGGTCTGATGATGATTAGCATAAAAAGTCGAGGTCGAGTGAATAACTATTACAATCATCAGGTACTCATAATGTCATTAAAAATTTGATTTTGACGCACCTCGATGTAGAAACTAAACATGAGGGTTTTACATTTAATGGAACAAGTTTTGAACACTAGAGAACCAAGAGAATTTTGATGGTCATGATAACAAGTTGGATCAAGGAATCGTGTGTTTTTCAGCACCAACGTTTTTGGCCTCCGTCACCCTTTTTATTGCGTCAGCAGATTGCTACGCTGCCTTTATTTATTATTGAACTCCACCACATATACTGGTGGGTGGGAGAGTCGAAGAAAGAGGAGTTTGAATCAAAAAATTAGAGCAAAATAGTGTTGGACGATTCTTATCTACTTCTAAGAGGTTAAATCGAATTAATCGGATATGCTAAAGACGGCAAACGCAAATTGAGATCTAACTGATCTTTTATTTTAATTGCTTAATTGGGTCGGTTGAACTCCAATTTTAGTTCTGCTTGCTGGCTGATCAAATTAAATTAATAAAAATGAAAATGAAAATATTTCTTGTCGCATTCGAATGCATGGCTCAAGTCGCATATCAGCCGGCACTTAAGTCTTCAAATTGCGGCTGCCATGTCAGTAACTCCAGACTTAAGCCGTGATGTTGAGCCAGTCAACTTCTAATTTGTCACGATATTGATTGTAATATCTCGTCAGATCCGATCCGATCCTCGTAATGTTGTCTTCGATAATTCCATCGACTCAGTAAAGTCTGCAGGTAGTCATAATTAGGCAATTTCCAATCCTTTAAAAATATTAATATAATTGCCCGTTCAGAGCTCTCCTGCGCAAGCGGCATTTAGATCCTCCATCCATCCCCTTCTCCTTGCATGTACCTCCAAGGGTGACAGCATCGAAGAGGGGAAGATTAGATCGGGCGCGATGGATCCCTCCGTCACCTCTCCGTCTTTCTCCTCATCCGCCTCGTCTTCCTCCTGGTTCGCGGGCATTGTCCGCGGCCGCTCGATCAAGTCCAGCTCCGGCGGCGGCGCTCCCTCGATCGCCGTGTCCACCGATGGGGTCGGCCCGGGGAGTCGTAAGAACCAGCTCCGTGGTGCTCTGTTCAAGTACGGCCCCAAGCCTATTCAGGTACAACAATGTTTGAGAAGTAGGATCATATGCTTATGTCCTTTATCGCATTCTTGCTTGTTGTGGATTAGAAGATAACTCTGGTTCATATCAACGATCTTCCCGTCTGTGTGGTGTTGATGTTTGAATTATTGATGCGTGAATCGAAGACATACCCTTTCGGTTGGGCCGCAGGCTAGTGTTGACTTAGGTTTTCTTGAACGATTTTTGAACCAATCGCCTGCATGACACTTCCTCCTTCGAAACCTAAATTATCTTCCGTAATTAGTATTATCTTTGGTTTGGCTCTATTTGGAAGGAATCTTTTGAATTTCATGTAGGCATCGCAAACTTTTGATTCTTGTATCTATCTCCTTCACTGTATCTTTGGGTTTTTCTATTGACAGGATGAAGTTTTGACGGCGATATATATGTATGTATATTCGAGGTTTCCTCCTAGTATGCCTTTAAGTTAATCTACTAGTTCACTGAAGACCCATTTAAGTCACCAAAGAAAAGGTCTTTCATCTTCTTTGCCTCTTGAATTATTGTGACCCTTGGATCACAAGTATTTTCCTCATATAATTAGCATTCTAATATATTTTGTCAAGTGTCTTCAAGGAATTTTTGACGTCGGTAAACAATGTATATATCTTTGACAGATTCAGTTGGATCTTTACATATTAATTTTGTGAGTGAACATGAGTTTAAATTCCTTAACTTGATTTAGTGCCTTTTTGGATCTCTTAGTAGGCCATGTATATGTGTGATTTCAAAATCCAAAAATCCTATTAAATTCATTGTAAGCATTAAAAGAACAAAGCGTCTTTTTCCATTTCCCAGGGGCTTTGTTGGTGGTAATTCTGTTTTCTTGATTCTTTTCTTTATGTTGAACCCATTCTTGACATGATATGCCAAAATTCTTAGTTAATGGGAAAGAGATTTATGAGCATCCAAAGTTGGGTTCAATGTTCACGACACACTAGTAGATGACGCTTGGGTTTTCTGAAAGGCGATTCAGAACTTGTTTGCAAGAGAGAAATGGAAGTCAAGCTTGCTGACTTGATGATCTAAGAGGAGAGATCGTGAGAATAAAGCTTATGGATTAAGATCTATAGTCAGGCACCAGAAAGATGTCACTCAAGATTCAGGATGTTACGTGATGATCACCTAATATCCAATCTCCAATTTAAGAAGACCACCTTCAGGTTGGGTAGGAAGCTTTCTTGTGGAAGCTGAGGATAGATTGAAAAATCGTGAAGTAAAATATTAAGAGAAGTTTCTGATGATGGGCTGAGGTGGAAAGAAGTTGAAGGGCATGAGAACCAATGGTTCAAGTTGGCGAAATGAAAGAGGAGTGCAGAGTTGTTGCCTAGATCATTGTAATAGAAGAACATCTTGCCATTTCCTTTGACTTTGATAGGATATTTCCCCATCCATCATGGGCCTTCTTTCTTCGAGTGAAGAAGGTGTCCTCCAAAAGATAAATTGAGAGAGAGAAGAAAAGAGAAGAAAGAAATTGAGAGAAGGCAAGAATGGGACAGAGAGGAACTGTAAAGGGTTTATTGTTGCCAATGCAATTAAATTTTTTTTTTTATCCCTGTAGGGCTTGTTAGATCTTTCTGTATAGACTTTCATAACTTCCATTTCAAATTGATATGCAAAGTAGAACATAACAGGACTTACACCACACATGCTGAAAGATTTGAGGAAGCTGTTTTTGCAACCAATTTCAATTTTTTTCTCTAGCAAGGGCATTCTTGGATTGTCAATGGAATTTTTTCAAGAATTCTGCAATGACATTAAATAGGACATTCTAAGTGGATTTGTGGAATTCTATCATGCCAAGTGTAGTCTTCAACATTTTAATTATGGTTTTATCAATCTTATACTAAAGACTAAAATTGCTTCTAAATTCGTGAACTTTAAACCCAATTTTCTCCTTAATTGTTCACTAAAAATTTTCAAGTAGGTTCTTGCTTCAGGCTAGTGAATGGTTTTCCATTTTTACTCTCTACAAATGTGCCTTCATCATGGTCTAAAATACTACTAGATAGATACATATCATCAGTCCAACCAAGTCCTGGTTTGGAACGTGTAGCTCAGTATCACTCAATATATCATTCATTTTTCTTTTGTTATTTTGCTAAGCAATGCAGGGCAGTACATGTTGATATATACCCTAGTATCTCAATTCTGTACCAATTTGACAGGTTTTTCAAATCATAAAATCTTGGCCTTCATCTATGTGATTGTTTTTGATAGGATGTTTATTTTTTTTTTCTGATTTCATGCCCCGATATTGGAATACTAGTTGAATTTGATAATCCTTTTTTGACACTGTCCTTAGTGATGCGCACCATTTAGGTCTTTATTCATGAAACTCAGCTAGGATCTGCAGCACTTCGAAGGCCCTTCTTTTTATTTTTATATTCTTGTCTCTCTTCTCTTCTTCGCCATATCTCTCTCTGCAAATACATCTTTAAAAGGGAAAACAACTAATTGACTTATATGACATCTAAGTTAGAGCTTCTGGACACAAATTTGACAAAGGAATCTAAAGACTTTCAGATATTGTCTTTCAAAATATAAATTAAAATACAATAATATTCCTAATTTTAGGAGTTCTTGGAGGCCATTTCCAATGGTCAATTTTATAGGAGTCCTAATTCTGACTTGACATGGATGTAGCTCAGTAATTCACAGATGAGTAAGATAATGCTGTTATCCTATGCCAACTAGGATTGGCACTATTACCAAATCAAGTGGGTCTGATTGTCGTCAAATCATGAGTATAGCCGGGTAGATGATAAGGAGGATTTTCATGTCACCAAAAGGTGCTGCTTAATATCCTATTAATGATTTGGTTGTTGGGATCTAGCAGAGGGCCCTCCCAGGTAATTGTCATCAAATCATGAGTATAGCTGGGAAGATGATGATGAAGATTTTCATGTCAATGTCACCAAAAGGTGCTTCTGAATTTCCAATTGTTGACTGGTTGTTGGGATCTAGTAGAGGGCCCTCCCAGATAATTGTCATCAAATCATGAGTATAGCTGGGAGGATGATGATGAAAATTTTCATGTCACCAAAAGGTGCTATTGAATATCCAATTGTTGATTGGTTGTTGGGATCTATTAGAGGGCCCTCCCAGATACTATGGGTCCCAAAGCCAACTTGGTTTGGCTATTTAGATTAGGTTTCTTGACAATCTTCTAGGTTGATGTCAAGGTTAAGGAAGGTGTTATTTGGGTTTAGGAATTTTCTGAGCATCCACAATACAAAGATGTAAGTCATTGCTATAAGTACATGGTCCACATCTTGACCATAGTGGCTTCTTCCTGTATCGTCAAGATGGAGCATCTGTTGTGGTTCTGAGGCTAAAATATATGTAGTACAACCTCATTGGACAAGATTTGCAATATCATGACTTTAAGGCCACAGATAAATTGATATGTTATTCTGTCATTCACAAGCCGAACAGGTTATTGTTGAAGCTAGACTTTAAGAGGCTTTCGATACATCTCACGGAGTTTTCTTTCTATTAGATGCTTGGGTCTTTGGGTCTAAATGTTTCTCTTTGTTAAGAGATATTTTGTTCAAACAAATATTCAAGCCTTTCGATGACACTCGTAAATAGTTTTGTTTGAACAAAAGCCTCATGCAAGGAGATGCTTTGTCCTTGTTGCTCTTTATGTTGATTAAAGAGCACATGCTACTCCTGTTTGTGCAGTTGAGTCGCAGTTTCTAAGTTAACCTAAGATTACTCCTATTCATTTGGAGCAAGGCAATCTTCCTAGGAAATCAATTTACAGTCAATTGCAAATTATCTAACCCTTCTCTTCCTTATCTAGGGCTTCCTCTTAGACTTGGGCCTTTAATCAAATGAGGCTGTAAGGTAGTTTGAGCTTAGGCTGGGTAGTTAGAATAGCCAATTTTAATAGAAGGAAGATTGATTCCTAATTCACTGCTTTAAAATTTTCTCACTTATTATCAAAAGTGGTTTATCAAAATACCAAATAGTATTAGGTCTTTCTCTCACAGAGGTGTAAAGATACAAAAAATGGATCATGTTTATCATACTGGTCAGTAATTTTCAAAGGAAAAATTAAAGTAGATATGGAATTATTATTAATGAGGGGGTTGGCTGCTGGCTGAGAAGCAGTGGCGGTGGTGGTTGTTGGCCGGGAAGCAGCGACCCTTTCTCACTGCGAGGAGGATGGGCGTGGCCGCTGGCTTTCACCTCTTTTTTTTTTTAGATGATAGTTACAGCGAGGTGTTGTGAGAAATTACAGCGAGAATGTCGAGGATCGCTATTCTGATACTAAATGATAAGACCCCTAGGATTTTATCGTAGAAGAAGAAGGAGAAAAGGGATGATCACTTCGAGAGGATCGGCCTCCTAAGGTTTGTCAAAAGACTGGATAATATTTCATTGATTGCTGAAAAGAAACAGATACATTCCTATTTATAGAGTTTTACCCAGAGTTCACCAGGACTTGGACTCTTAATAAATAAATATCAAATAAACTCCTATCCCACTCTTACTGAATTAGACCAACTCAATAAAACATTGTTCAAAGCTTAAAAAATAAAGGGATCCTAACACTTCCTCTTCTTCTATTGTCTCGGTAATAAAACACAAAGGACGATGAGGATCTCTCGCCTCATCAAGTAGAGGATCCTCTTGGTTCTCTATCGCTTCGACCCACTCTAACATCGACTCTGAATATTCGTTGTAGAAATAGAGGTTGATAGGATTAATCTCTAGTTCCTCTAGCTCTTTGTCCAGCTCGGCACATTGCAACCTTAGCTGTATGTTATAGTGGACATATACCAGTTTCTCCAAGCGTCTATGCGATAGTCTGTTGTGGACTTTAGTGCGAATCAATACGAACATTGACCAATTACATTCGTAACCACTAGATGTTGTTGTTTGTGAAAGTACATGAATGACAACTTTCCTTACATTTGGTGCATTCCCTCCATATTGTAGACACTACTCGACTGCGAAAAGATATAAATAAGATTTTATTAGCATAACAAATATAGTTGATAATCAATATGTGTAATTTTTTCTTACTAGGATTCATAATCTAATGACACGATACAACTACAATATCAGAGAATGACCAATTGAATCTCGGAATAATTAGCCCTCCATAATAGCATTGGTTGTATCAGTAGTATTTGACAAGAGTCGATATATAACACTTCTTAGTGCTGTTAGTAAATCATTTTGCGTTCCAAAAGCATATTGAAATTGAATTGTCGAGTTTAGATAATACGTTGCAAGACATAATTTTGTTAATAGGAATTTTTTATACAATAAAAATTATGAATTAAATTATACTGAATATGAATTTACCTACATTATAGATATCTAGGTCCATATGAACTTCAGCCCTACGATCAATGATCAGTAGGTATTAGTCGGCCTTAAAATAATCTTTGAATGCTTTCTTGACCTCTTCTCTTGCTCTGATTAGCATATGTTTAAGATAAGGCATCTATGGACGCTTGTTCATATCGACCTTACGGAGGACAACATAAAGTGGTTCCATACTTTTTATGATTTCAATCACGATCTTCCAAAATCCAGAAGAAAGAATGGTCTTTTTCATTTTCTTTCGATCGCTTAATCTCGAATACCTAGAATCAGACCATTCCTATGAGGTGATCATTGCCTTGAGGCCTTGCCTCTTTTGTTGTAATGACTTTAAGACAATGAAATTAGTAGCAAACCGAGTGACTCGAAGTCGGAGTATCTCACCCGAGTGATTCCTACACCATTGCCAATGCAGTCACAATAAATACATTGTCAATGATGGTAGTTCCCATCCATCTTTTGGGCATGAGCCCAAGCATCATTATATGGCTATTCCTTTAGTGTCATGTTCCTATCAAATTTAAATCAAATAAGCTATAAACATGTCAAATACCCTAATAGGTATTAAAGATGTTGAATTGACCCAATATCGATCAAATTTCGATTAAATCATCATTAAAACCACTAATCGCAACATTAAAAAACTTTATTAAAACTTAATTAAACCTATTTTACCATAATATGTTAAATACATAAAAGCAACATTAAATACGTAATTTTGATCAATTATAGGTCAAATTACAATTTGAATCATCATTAGATACAATAATCACACAATTATCATAATTAATTACCTACTAATTATTTATCTTTGAATATTTTAAATATGTCATACACCCTAATAGGTATTAAAGATATTGAATTGACTCAATATCGATCAAATTTCGATTAAATTATCATTAAAATCACTCATCGTAGTATTAAAAAACTTTATTAAAACCTAATTAAACCTATTATACCATCACAAACATATGATCCAATACTTAATATGCATGAAATATAAACATTTGACCTATTAAGTATTTAATTTCAAATAAATCAATATTAAATACACTAATCACAACATTAAAGACCTTAATTACTCCCTAATTAATACTATTATACAATCAAAAGAATATCAAACAATATATTAGACATTAAGTCATACATCATATAGAATACGCTTAATCATCTTATAAATCAATAAAAATCTTTAAAGTGAATACATATCTCTTGATTAAAAAATTCTTCCTCTTAATCCTCCTAAATTAGTTTTCTTAAATTTGATTCAATCCACAAATCATTGCTTTGTTAAGTTTAGAAGAGTGAAAATGTGAGAATAAGAGAGATTATGAGTAAAAATTAGTTTAAGAGAGTGTGAGAGTGAAATGGATTGAAAGAGGAAGAAGGAAAGATTTTGAAAACCCTTTAGGATGCCTCCAATAGTCAAATTGACTGTTTGAAGACCGTTATCAATAGTTAACGATCAGTTTCGATCGTTACCGCCCGTTACAAGTCGGTAATGGTCGAAATCAATCGATACCGCTTGGTATAGGTCGGTAACGGTCGAAATTTCAGTCATTACTGCCCGATACAACCTCGTATCGCCCGATACGAGGCCAAAAATTTGATACTGCTCAGTAGCAAGTGGTCCGTATATTGATAGGTTGGCAGGCCGATACATATTGCTCGTACCAGGCGGTATGGTACAAAATTAAAAACCCTGATATCAATCATATTGTACAAAGATACTATAGTATTAGATTACCATCATTTAACTCATACAAAAACCGAAAACTTTTAATTTGTAGCTTGTGAGATAATGCTGTGTCCTACATGCATAGTGTAAGATAATATAAAAAGCAAGTAAGATAAACATTTGGAACATCCTATTCCTATGATGTCTACTTTCGTTTACAGGTTTACTACTTTCTAATTCTTCTCTGTCCTCTCCCTACACTATTTTATCTAAGATATACAGTTTCGAATAATATCGCCTGGTACGGGCGGTACATACCAGTCTAACAATAAACCGGTACGCGGACCGCCCAGTATATATATATATATATATATCGAACGGTATACCGCTCAGTACACGGTACCGTATTGTACCGAGAGAAGGTCGAAACTTCGGTACGGTACGATGTTTTAATCCTTGATTTTATTTGTACTATAGATGATACTGAGTGAGAAATATTATGCCCAAGGTTTTTAATTTCGAATAATACCACTCGGTACGGGTGGTATATACTTATTCGCCAGCAGACCAGTATACGAACCGCTTGCTATCGGGCAGAATGTTGGATCTCACCCCGTATTGGATGATACGGGGCTATATCGAGCAGTAACAGTTGAAATTTCGATCGTACATGCCCGACACAAGTTGGTAACGATCGAAACGACTGTTATTGACCTGTAACAGTGTTCTAATGGTCAAATTGACCAATGGAGCCCTTTCTCATGGGTTTTAAACCCATCCTCCCCCTTATTTCATTCCATTTCACTCTCACACTCTCTTCAACTACCTCAAACTCATTTTTTTTACATTCTTTTTCTTATTCTCACATTTGTACTTTCCTAAACTCTACAAAGCAATGATTTATGAATTCAATCGAGGCTAATTTGGGAGGATTAAGAGGAAGAACTTTTTAATCAAGAGCAGTACGACCAACAGTAGTACGGTGATAGTTGGTCATACTTCTCCGAGCAACAGTATAATACGGAGCATCAGATCAGTAGCAAAAGTAGAAGCTCTAACATTCACCAATACATGCCTCAGGAGTTGCCTCGGACAAATATGATTAATGATAATCAACCTATGATCATCACCACATTGATGAACCAATGGCATACTGTGTATCAACACACTATATCGTGGGATCAATTTCAGGATTGAGTCCAACAAACATATCATATTGATATGCAGATGCATAGGATCAAGGACCCCGATCCACCACTTGTGGAGACCCATCGTTCGTTTTGGTGGTATAATCAGTAATCAAGTATATCTACATATGTGATTTTTTAATTCATTTGAATTTTAAAGTTTATATTATAACAAAATAATCTAATAATTCAAATGATTTTTCTGTAGATATTTCACTATTTACAAAAGGACAATTCGTAATGGATCGAAATACGAACATTGCACAAGACTATTCCTGAAAGCTCGAAAAAGATATGTGATACTATTCTTACCTAATTTACATTGATTTTGCTAAACTTATATTATTACTATATTTATTTCTAACTTAAAACCCCTATCCTAACTTTTTTTTTTATTTTTCAGGTATTTTCAGAGGATTTTATGCCTAAATTAGGTGTACCACTCGGTACACTATACCGTATCGTATTGAGCAAAGCTCGAAACTCTGGTACGGTACGAAATTTCAATCCTTGATTATGCCAACCTATGATTTTGATTTCACATTGCCTACTTTCGGTTCAATAAGTGACTTAATGCATCTGAGGTTCGGTTCATTAGTTTGCAACTTTTCTTTTACATGCTTGGCATTAATCCAATACTTGAATGGCACTTGTATCAAGATTTAAGTTTATGAGACTGGTTCCACTAAATTGGGGATTAATGACTGTTATGCCTAAAACTGAGGCCTGTAGCTTTTTTAGCTTTGAATCCTAATGCATGTGCTATCCACATTCTAGATCTAATGCTAGGTGGGTAATGGAAGATCCAACGACAACTTTGGAGGACATAAATCCTTACCTGTGATGCTGTTCACATGAGCTTTTCCTTGATCAATATTTAAATACCAACTTTGGAGAGATGATGTGAGCATCTGATCTTAGAACTTTGTCAAACCTTCAACGCAGTCTTCTTGATTCTGAATTGAAATTTGGGCAAAGGTGGAAGTGACCTGTCTTGGATTTATCTAAATGGAATTTAGGCACATTGTGAAGCATGGTTTTGAGCTTTGGTAGGTTCTGTCCCATGCTGACCACATCCTTGCATGCCAGAATGGTATTGATGCAAGGGTCTATGCTATACCAAAATTTGTATCGATACACCTTCATGCATGTTGTTGCCTTGAGCCAGTTAGCATGGACCCGGTGGCTTGCTTTTCAGCACAGGCTGTTGTATTTTAAAATGTTGTGCATATCTGTGACTGATTACGCTTGCTTGGTGAAAGCCAAAAGTATCTAAAGATTCTAAACTACCATGATATTATATTAGTCTAGAGAATTGATACATGTTTGCATTCTTCAGTTGAGAATGATGATTTTCATTTGGCTGAATAGTATGTTCTCAATGTTCTATTTTCCTATGCAAAATGCTAAGTTTTTTATCAATCTGATACTATGTACAATATACAACTAGAAACTGGAGAATATCAATTCATAAGTGGGTTGTGGCAAAATTTAATCCATAAGTGGATAATATTTACTCCTATTTTTGTAGGTTGCTTTCAAAACTGGTGAGTTCAACCAACAAGTCATTTTTGTTGGTGGTTTGACAGATGGATTATTGGCAACTGAGTATGTTTCTTTTAATTTAACATGCACTTTTTGTCAGAGTTTTCTTGTATCTAATAATTGTTGTACCTGGTTGTACTATGCATCTATTGGTATCAAAATCAAGTCTAAATGCTTGGCATACTTGCATTTGTAAATATCACCTACAGGAATAATTTGGTTGGGTAGTATTTAAACTTTATTCATACTTCAGTTCTGGTCGTGTCATTCACATTGAGCAAATTAATTTGTCAATATGTAGTTTGACCTGATTATTCACAATACATACGGCTCTTCCTTTCAGCAATTCTAGGCCTCTCTTCCTCAGCAAATTAACCCCTCATTTTCTCTAATATCCTGTGCATTGTGGCCCCTTGTTCCTCTTATGGCAGAGCTAGGAGTTATTTCTTGTTGCCTCAAGATTTAGATGATGACCAAATCATAACATATGGTATATTCGTTGATCATGTAACTGTCTCAACCAGAGCTAAAATTTAAATTCAATCCTCAGCAGATCATTTTATCAAAATTTAGTAATAAAGAAACAAATTCAATTTGCTAAAACGCTTATGGCATGAATCATCATAACTGATGCAACACTCATTGCCATGCCTCCTTATTTCCTTGGTGACAGTGCTGCTGCCTCCTCTTACTTGTCCTCCGCCACCTTCTCCACCTTTTCTTTCTCCTTTTCCTCCTTTTCCTCTATCTCCTCTGCCTCATCTGTCTCATCCTCCACTTCTTCCTCTTGCTTTGCCTTCTCCTCCTCTGTCTTCTTGTAATCCTCTCTACTCTGGTCTGGATGATACCAACCCCTACTTCGGTTTGGTATGCCTGCTCTGTATCAGTACCATATTGGTTCAGCTGCCAGCTGGTATTGATATTGGAACAAGATTTTAATCCATGTCTTGAACAGGAGTGAATTAATATGAATCAATTTGAACCATAATAGGCAAATTATAGTTCCCCCAAGCTTTTAGTTCTATTTTCTTTATATTGTTGAAGAAGATAATACAAGTTTCTGTATAGTGCTCTTTTATTTGTATTATGCCAAATTCAAGAAACCCCATTATTTTTGCAGATACTTGGAACCTTTATCTATTGAGTTGGAAAATGCAAAATGGTCCCTGGTGCAACCTTTGCTGTCTTCATCATATATTGGATATGGCACTTCCAGCTTAGATCAAGTATGACTTCCTAAATTTATTACTTGTGTAATTGCTAATTTTTTTTTTGTTAAATTCGGTTTCTTTTATGTGAAACATATAAAAACCACAAAAAAGATCCTTGTTTGACTCCATACTACATGTATTTCTGCATCATTCTCCTTAAGATGTCTCATGAACTTAGTTTAGCCCATTAAAAATAAATTTTATTAATTCCCTTGACTTAACTAAGTTAAACTTGTTAAAATACAGTGTATGAGCCTATGAGGTTATAGTTGCTTATGTGTTCTCTCTCACCCATCATAGATGATGATCATAAAAAAATAATGATATAGTTGAGCATAATATTGAAATTATCTTATTGTAATGGATCATCTGGTCCAAAGTATAACTTGACAGAAGTTTATATGATCAGGGTAAGTTTATATGCTAATATTAGCACATGGGTTGATCATCACCGACATCATGTCCTTGGCACTTGGAATCAAGGTTCGCAATACCGTACCGTACCGGAGTTTCGACCTGGGCTCGGTACCGGTACGGTACGGTATACCGCTCGGTACACCCAGGTGTACCGAGCGGTATATTCAGGCGTGTCGAGCACTGTAGCAGTGCTACACTGCTACAGTACTGCTACAGTACCGGACCGGTAACAGGCGGTCCGCGTACCGGAAGCCTGTCGGACCGGTACGTACCGCCCATACCGGGCGGTACGGACCGGTACTGCAAACCATGCTTGGAATAATCAATGACATATAGATGCCTAGCTATCAAGGTTCACCTTCTTATGTTGTTTCATCTTGAGGGCTTTCTTATCTGCCAATCTCTGACTGCATTTTTAATTTTTGTGGGGCATTTATGTATTTGGCCACATTGGGAAATCACCAACCAAAAGCATCTTAAGTATTGATATTCGCTCCACCATTGCCATTGCAATCATAATGGATGTATTGTCAATGATGATAGCTTTCTAAACGTTGAGCATGTTACCATGCCAAATCTAATCCCTAGTTGATGGTAGGATTTCTTTAAGTGCATGGTTAGTAATCATGTGTCGAAGTCTATTTTGTTCTTTGGTCCATCATCTCTCTATTGCCAACATCATTCCCACAAACAATGCCAATTTTAATTGCCAAGAATTTTGGACCAACAAGATGTAGATGGTTTATAAGCCATTTACAAGGATTAAAATTTCGTACCATACCGGGGTTTCGAGCTTCGCTCGTTACGATACGGTACTGTGTACCGAGCAGTATGCCTACACCTAATTTAGGCATAAAATCCTTCGAAAATACTTGAAAATAAAAAAAAATTAGGATAAGGTTTTTAAGTTAGAAATAAATATAGTAATAGTATAAATTTAGCAAAACCAATGTAAATTATGTAAGAATAGTATCATGTATCTTTTTCGGACTTTGAGGAATAGCCTTATGTAAGGTTCGTATTTCGGTCCGTTACGGATTGCTCTTTTGTAAATATTGAAATATCTATAGAAAAATCATTTGAATTGTCAATTCACAAATCGTTGCTTTGTAGAGTTTACAAGAGTGTAAATGTGAGAAAAAATGAGTTTGAGGTAGTTTAAGAGAGTGTATGGGTGAAATAGGGGAGAAGATGAGTTTAAAAACCCATAAGAAAGGGCTCCAACGATTATTTTGGCCGTTGAAGCACTGTTGCAGATCGGTAATAGTAGAAATCGATTGTTACCAAGTTGTGCTGAGCGGTAACAGTCGAAATTTTGATCGTTACCGTCCGATATATCCCGTATAGTCCAATATAGGGTGATATTGAGCATTCCACCCGGTAGCGGGCGGTCCGCGTACCGGTACGTACTGCCCGTACCGGACGATATTATTCGAAATTAAAACCCATGGCCATTTGGATGATGACTGGGGCTTATGGTGGGACTGAGAGGGAACTTGGTCTTTCAATGCTCAAGTCAGCTTGTTAGGAGTGAAGAAACAGTAAACCAAAAGTTATAATGTTGAAGTTATAATGTTGAAGTTATAATGCTTGCCTAGGTGCCCGCATGAGCGAAACAAGGCACTTTGAAATATTAAAATAAAAAAAATAAAAAAATATAATTAACAAATAATGATTAATATTGCTAAAATCTAAATAAAGACTATTATATGCTAAAAGTAGTTAACAATCTACTATTAACAGTATTTAATCTATTGTTAACAATAGTTAGAGAGGAGAAAAGAGTCACTAACAGTGGAAAGTGGAAAAGGAGAGGGTGGCGGTTACGGATGAACTTTCGGATGATAGCAGTAGCGATGGAGGAAGCTACGAACAGCATCATCAATGGCGGAGGAAGCTTCAGATGACAGTAGCAGCGACGGAGGAAGTTGCGAATGACAATAGCAGAGACGGAGAAAGCTTCAGATGGTGATAGCGGCAATGGCAGAAGTTGTGGCCGCTGACATCGTGGGTGAAGGAAGCTTCAGATGTATCCGTCGGTGGTAGAGGAAGCTGTGGGGCCTCTCCATCGACGGTGGAAGGAGCTACATACGGAAGCAACGATGGCGGAGGGAACTACACACGAAAGCTAGACCTTTGGACCCGTCCATCGATGGCAAAGGAAGCGTCAGTGGTGAAGGTAGTGGTAGAGGAAGCGATGGCAGCGAAAGCAATGGCTACGTATGAAGTAGGGTTTATGGCTTGGGGTCGCGTGGGGGGATGGGGTTTGCGTGTGCAAATTTGGTAACATTATATTACTTGGTTCAATCGAAGTGGACGCTGACATCGTGGGTGAGGGAAGCTTCAGATGTATTCGTTGGTGGTAGAGGAAGCTATGGGTCCTCTCCATCGACGGTGGAAGGAGCTACAAACGGAAGCAACGATGACGGAGGGAACTACACACGAAAGCTAGACCTTTGGACCTGTCCAACGATGGCAAAGGAAGCTTCAGTCCTATGCGTCAGCGGTGAAGGTAGTGGTAGAGGAAGCGATGGCAGCGAAAGCAATGGCTGCGCATGAAGTAGGGTTTATGGCTTGGGGTCGCGCGGGGGGCAGGGTTTGCGTGTGCAAATTTAGTAACATTATATTACTTGGTTCAATCGAACCATCTAAGCTATTGTTCAATCAAATGCTTTGTTTCAATCGGGCTCTCGCCCGAGGCGCCCTGCATCTGGGTTCAGGTGAGTGCCTAGGTGGTGTTTCATTGAAGCGCACTGCTTGATCGAGGCTTGAGGTGCTCGAGCCTCGCCTCACCTCACCCGAGCGTCTACGCAAGCACCCGAGTGCCTATTTAAACCCACTATTGTTGTATTTACTTATTTAAAGTAAAGAGACAAATAAAGACTTGCACATGTTGTTTATTGAGTTTTTATATATTCAGTGAATTTGAAATGGGAAAATGTTATCTAGTTTTATATTGTGCTGATACTGTATATGCAAGATAGAGTTGCCTTTATTGCAGTACAAAAGGAGTGTTTAGTGAGTTTTCTATCACATGATTATCATCAAATGTCACCTTCAAATCCTTATTTTTTTGGCATTGGTAGTGTATGAACTTTCTAGGTGTGTTTTTAATAACTTCTATCATGTGTTTTCTATTTGCTTATGTTAATATTTGCAATGATGAGAATCTAATTGTGATTAATCTTAAATTTGATCTAATATATTTTTAGAAATAAGGTATTTTACTAAGCAGAAATTAGACCATACATATGAAATATGATTTTGACCAATACCAAGGAAAAATGGTATTGTAAGAAATGAATAATCTTTGGATGGAAAAGTTTTAGGTATACTGCATTTGTTGCTTGGTATGAATGGGAGATTGATGAAGATAATATATCATAAAATTAAAATGGGTTTGGCTAAAGTGGAGACAGGTTTGAATGTTGTATGACTATCATGTGTGTGCCCTTAGAATCCAAGGAAGATTTTATTAGACAATTATAAAACTAGCTATATGGTTAGAATTTTGGGTAATTAGGAAACAATATGAGAAGAAAAAGTTATTGACTCTTAAAATGAGGATTGAGATGAATGCGTGCAGTTAAAGAGAATAAAATATAGTTAACTTCATGACTAATTAAAAATATTTTGATCAAGAATAAAATGTGATTAAAAAAAATTTAAGATGACATTGGTATAGTCAATGAAGTCTTATTTATGTAGCTTAGAAGGGTAGTTTTGATAAAATGAGGGAATACCATTTAAGGTAATGGATATATCCAATGGAGACTTATAAATGCATACAGGTTGGAGGAGGTAAATTGTTTAGGCTTAATGGTGTGTGGAGCATTAGAGGTAGACCAATAAAAATATTATTAGAAACAAATAAGCTGTATTTCATTATCTCTTATTTTGACTAGTGATACTTTCAACAAAGCATAATGTCAAAAAAATATCCATGTAGCTGACTAAAATAACTGGGATCTTATGGCTTGTTATTTTACAGCATAAGTTATATGTATTTTCTTTTAACATTAATATGCTTTACTTTTATCTTGATTTCTATCTATCAGGACTCCTTAGAGCTGGATCAGTTAATTGGTTACTTGATAAATAAGGAAAACTCTGAGGGTGTTGTGCTGCTTGGGCACAGTACTGGTTGCCAGGTTGTAACTTGTGAATTTTATATAAAGTTTTATCTATTACATGTATGCCAGTGCAAGAAAATTTTTCACCAATTGATATGGTACAGGATATTGTGCATTACTTAAGGACAAATTTGGCATGCTCCAAAGCAGTTCGTGGAGTAATTTTGCAGGTACCTTTCTTATTTGTGCCAACTTTTTTACTTGGTGTCTTGTAGGGTGTGTTTTAAGTTAAAAGAACTTTTTAAAATCATAGTTACTTTTTAATTTTTCTTACTTGGATGAAATTACTTTTATGTCTATTAGAAACAAAGCTACATGAAGCTTGATGTCCAACTTTAGCAAATAACATGTCTAACACTTAAAAATTAACTATATGTAAAGAGTAGATCTTCCCGTGTCTGAACTCAATACCCTTGTGCACAAAGTCATCTATCTATGATGAGTATAAGGGCTTCAGACATAATGTTGAGTCGTCCAAAGTTGTATTCAATATTCACGAATCATTAGAGCCGCATTACCTGGAGGAGAAGCCATGAGATACAAATATGAGCTCAATGCTTCATCCCACTATGATCTGACAATGATATAGGACCTTTTTAGTTCAGGTGCCTTCCACTTTGGGGTATCCTAACGGTAGAGATGCTTAGGGTTTAGGTTGGAGTGCCAGTAGAAGGCAGCATAATAACACTAAGATGGGTAGGAGTGGTAGTGTGCAACATCCTTGCGTCGGGGGCATTGGGATTTTCAGCTCTTGATAAAAATAAGGTTTTTATTTCTTCTTAAAGGCCAAAAACAGTATGACCCATAATGGTCGATAGTGATCCATACTGACACGTAGTATATTTCAAAATTAGTATCTTATTGGTCCGGCCAATGGCCTATACAGATTCTAGATCGAGATTTTAATCCTTGCTATAAACAATATAATAAAATGAAGAGTTAATCATTCCACAATCTGTCATGAATTTTAGAAAGTTGAAGGCAACAATTTTGGTAATACTTACATTGGGAAGGCCATGAACCAAGAAAAGAAGATAATAATTAAAATTGGTATGACCCATAATGGTCGATAGTGATCCATACTGACACGTAGTATATTTCAAAATTGGTATCTTATTGGTCTGGCCAATGGCCTATACAGATTCTAGATCGAGCTTTTAATCCTTGCTATAAACAATATAATAAAATGAAGAGTTAATCATTCCACAACCTGTCATGAATTTTAGAAAGTTGAAGGCAACAATTTTGGTAATACTTACCTTGGGAAGGCCACGAACCAAGAAAAGAAGATAATAATTAAAAAGAAAAGCCCTCAAGAGCCTCTCTCTAAAGAGGAGGGAAAAGCCTACCATTATCATTATTAACTCGATTTTGCCTCAGAAACTATGTATGTAAATCATTCTTCTTCACATGTAAGAGATGAATAATGATGTGACATTACAACATGTAATGAGAATAAAAAAGTATGGTTATAATTGGAGGATATTTCTCCATCCCTACAACGTCAATATGCTTATCGGTTGAGAAATAGTGCTGGTTGATGGAGAAACAGTTAAGAATCTCTAATTGCAAATTGGCATGAGTTGGTGGTCCTCTTGGTCATCTGGAGAAGATTCTTGTTAGGCCTTTAGTGATGGCAACACCGAACATAGTCCAGATAGGTCTCGTTGGGCAGTAAACCCGCACCAAGGCAAGTGGTGCCACTAGGATAGTGTCGATTTGGCTAGTGGTGCAACCGCTAGTATTCAAAGTTGTTCATTTTAGGCTTTGTCTGAATACTTGAGTTGGTCTTTGCTTTCCTTCTAATTAAGCATTCAATTCCAGTTTTGTGCATGTGATATATGTGTAGATCAAATATAATATTGAGCAAATTCAGCCATGTAATAACTCATGTTGGTAGAATAATTCATGTATAAGTACATCTTTTGAGTCCATTATCTGCTTGGTTTTTGGTTAAATTTTCCCTTTGCTCACCAATTGTGTCATGAGTCTTACACTAATATTGATTCTCAAACAAGTTATATCATCTAAGGTTTTTAATTTCGTACCATATTAGCGTAACGACCCTTGCTTGGTGCGGTATGTACCAAGCAGTACGCCTAAAAGAGGTATAAAACCCTCCGAAAATACCTGAAAAAAAAAAGAGTTAGCATAGGGTTTTTAAGTTAGAAATAAATATACATTTAGTATAGTTTTAGCAAAACTAATGTAAATTAGGTAAGAATAGTGCCATATATCTTTTTCGAGCTTTGAGGAGTAGCCTTATGAAAGGTTTACAATTTTGATTCGTTTCGGTTCGTCTTTCTGTTAATATTGAATTATCTAAAAAACATTATTTGAATTGTTAGATTATTTTGTATATAACTTAAATTTTAAGATTCAAATGAATTAAGTAATCACATGTGTAGATAGACTTGATTCTACCACCAAAACAAACGACGGGCCTCCACGAGTGGTGGATCGGGGTCCTCGATCTCGATCCTATGTATTTGTAATTTTGTATATCAGTATGATATGTTTGTCGGAACCAATCCTGAAATTGATCCTACGACATAGTGTTTTGATACACCATATGCCATTGGTACATCAATATGATGATTGTCGTAGGTTGATCGTTGTAAATCACGTGTTCGAGGCTGCTCCTAAGGCATGTATTGGTGAAATAGAGTGAGAGTGAAAATTAAACTCTTAAATTTGATACAATCCACAAATCATTGCTTTGTTGAGTTTAGGAGTGTGAAAATATGAGAATAAGAGAGATTGTGAGTAAAAATAAGTTTGAGAGAGTTTAAGAGAGTCTAAGAGTGAAATAGATTGAAAGAGGGGAGAGAAAAGAGTTTAAAAACCCTTTAGGATGCCTCCAACAATCAAATTGACTGTTTGAAAACCGATATAAATCGGTAACGGTCAGTTTTGACCGTTACCACCCGATATAGGTCTGTAACGGTTGAAATCGACTGGTACTGCTCGTTACAGGTCGATAATGATTGAAATCGATCGGTATTGCCTGATACAGGTGGGTAACGGTTGAAATTTCGATCATTGCTGCTCGGTACAGCCCTGTATTGCCCGATATGTGGCAAAAAATTTGGTATCGCCCGGTAGCGAGTGATCTGCGTGCCGATAAGTTGGCGGACCAATACGTACCACCCGTACCGAGCAGTATAGTACGGAATTGTAAACCTTGATATCATCCATCAACTAGGTCCTTTAAAATAAGAATGGCAAGGAGTTTTTAGTGGAACAAGAAGAGGTTGAATTACAACTTCATCATTGTGCTTTGACATTGAGACAAGTGTCACTATCAGATTTTTCCTATCATCTCAATGCACCAATTGGATTGTTGAAACCATGTGTTAACTTGTTGAAAATGCATGCTAATTAATATTGATAGTTTTATTATCATCTTTATCATTGTATCCTTCCCATGTTCTTCGTGAAGTTCTATCTCTTAGAAGATTGTCGATGTTTCCTACGTTGAAGACCTAATCTTGTGTAGAATCTGGCAGCTGATGTTAGTTGTTTCTAAGACTTGGTTGAAATGATATCAGATTCCATTAAAATTCAGCCAACAAAACCCCAAATTGATAAACTTTTAATGTGTCAAGTTTTAACTCGATAGTTCTTCATTTTATATCAAAACATATTAGAACTGTAGCAGAGCCTGGGTATCTGAACTTAGATTTTCAACTGAATCTGTACCAAATCGATAGGATCTTTCCTTTCTGTAATGGACCTTCCTTTTTCAAGGAGAAGGAATTTTTCAAGAGAGATTTTAGAAAAAAAAATTTAGAGAGAGATAGACAAGAAAAGAGAGATGTAGGATAATAAGATCGCAGAGATAGAAAATAAGAGATCGATTATAGAGATTTGTATTGATAACTCTAATTCTTCTATGCCTTTAGGGCTTACAAGAGCTTTATTTATGAACTCTCTCATTCATTTTCTCTCCTATTCATATATTAAGTACAACTTAGCATGGTTAACATCACACAAGTTGACATATGGAAACTTAATCCAATCCCAACAAAATCTGCACAAAGTAACTATCTTATATCATATGCATAATGGAACAAATAGTTGCTACTGTGACTTTAACTAAGCCTGTAGAGGCCTTCTAAAAAGAATTAAAATGGCAATATGATGATAATACCTAGTTTAAGTAGGGCACAATCAGATTTTGACTCGGGTCTTTGCTTATATCTGGTCTGGGTGGATCATCTTCATACTTAGCTTGGATGCTAATATTTGGCTCCACCCAAGTGATCTAAGACCAAGTATAATTAGAATAACTTGTTAAGGCTATTAAGTGCTGGTTTTAATGGAGTCTTCTGAACTAATAAATATGTTTTTAGGCCATTAGAATTTTGCATCATGATTGGTTTCACCTGATTGAATCCTCTTTTGCTAACCTAAATCATATCTAAGTGGGGTTAGATAAACCCTAGCCACTCTTCTTTATAGGATAGAGGCGGCTAGGTGGGGTTTATTACAATCTCATAGGGTTTTTGTTAGCTGCTTTTTGGTTGAGTAGGACCAAACCTTGTTAGGGTCCTATTAAGCCCGCCCTCTCCAAATTAGCCTTGTCTTTAAGGCTGAGGTTCCATGAACTCAGGGAACCAAGTCTTCAGATCCTCATATGATTTCCATATGGCGTCTTCGAGTGGTAAATTATTCCAATGCACTAGTACTTTAGTGGAGGGACGTCGACGACGCATCACGATTCTGCGGTCGAGGATGGCATGTGGTTGGGCTTGAATATCTCCATCATCACTGGTGTTGGGTAGTTGGATTTGGGTTGACTTGTGTTCTCCCAACTTGGGCTTCAGGCATGACACGTGGAAGACAGGGTGAATTTTTGGCATCGTCAGGCAATTTAAGTATGTACGCTATGGTTCCAATACGCTCTATGATTTGATAGGGCCCATAAAAACATGGGGATAGCTTCATGGAGGCTTGTGTGTTGATGGAGAGTTGCTTGTATGGTTATAGGCGAAGATAACCCAATTTCATACTGAAAATTCTCTTTCGCTTCGTCGTGTGTCGGCTTGCTGCTTCATTTTGGCTTGAGCGGTAAAGAAATTATCCTTTAGCAACTGTAGGAGTTTGTCTCTGTCAATTAAATCTTAATCGATCTGATCTACCTTGGCCGAGCCAATTACATACTTTG